CTCCCCAAGACTGCAAGGAACCCCCCACTTTTTGGTTTGGGTGCAGTTTGAGAAAAGAGAAAGTCGGGTGTGATTATTATGGTGGGGATGGAGACTTGGTGGGGCGTTTCTGTTAGGAGCTCTGGCCTTGCAGTCCTGGGCACATCCCCCCCCCCCCAAAAGTGACAACAGCAATCCATCTGAATACTCAGCCTCCTTTCTGCCTTTGGTTTGGGGGTGCAGTTTGAGAAAGGAGAAAGTCGGGGTGATGATTACGGATGGGGATGGAGTCCTGCCAGGGACCCTGAGCCCCCCTTGGGGCGCCCCCTCCTCAGCCAATAGATAGGCTTGACCCCTCTCCCCCCCCCCCCCAAAGTGTGATTATTATGACTCCATCCCCAAGTCCTGGGTGAGCCGGTCCTGCCAGGGGCCCTGACCCCCTGTGTCCCCCTTGGGGAGCCCCCTCCCCAGCCAGTTACGAGACGCCCCCCCTTCCCTTCACAGACCCTCCTCCTCTTTCTGCCTTTGCTTTGGGGGTACAGTTTGAGCAGGGAGAAAGTCGGGGTGATGATTAGGATAGCCCTGGCCTTAGTGCTCCGGGGCCCATCGCCCCCCCCCGCAAATGGAGCCCCCAAATGCGACAGAGCCCCCTCCCCAAGACTGCAAGGGATCCCCTTCCTCCTCTTTCTACCTTTGCTTTGGGGGTGCAGTTTGAGAAAAGAGAAAGTCGGGGGTGATGATGAGGATGGGGATGGAGTCCTGCTAGAGATCCTGAGCCCCCTCCCCAGCCAGTAGCGAGCCGTGACCCACCTCCCTTCCCCCCCCCCCCCACTTAGAGACTCACTCTGCCCCTCGAACTTGCGGATGATGGTGTCGAGGAAGGTGTTCTGGGGGGCCACGTGCCCGCGGCGGACCGGCATCCTCTCAGCCCATGGGGCCCTCCCCAAGGGGCGACACCCCCGCCAGGAAGGAGGAGGAGGAGGAGGAGGAGGAGGAGACCACCACCACGCAGGCCCAGCGCCAAGGAGGGGGGGGGGGGTCAGGAGGGAGGGGGCGACGGGGAGGCGGGGGCCTCTTCCTTCCTTCCTTTCCTTCTTTCTTTCCTTCCTTTCTTTCCTGGGCAGGTGCTTCAGGGCTTGGGAGGGGCTTGGGAGGACCCCCCCATGGCGGCTCCTCCCTCCCTCGCCCTCCCCCTCTTCTCCGGCCTCGTCCTCGGCGCCCCTTATTTAGGCAAAAGCCAAGCCGCCGAGAGAGAGAGAGAGAGAGGGAAGGAGAAGAGAAAGGCGGAGGGAAAGAAGGAAGGAAGGAAGGAAGGAAGGAGGCTCCGGGGCCCCGAGGAGAAGGGGATGCTCTTCTTCTTCCTCCTCCTCCTCCTCTTCTCCCCCTCCCTTCTCCGGTGCGCGCTCCCGAGGCGCGGCCCCGACGGTCCCAAGGGAAGGAGGGAGGGAGGGAGAAAGGGGGCGGGGCCAGGCGCGCCTCTCAGCCAATAGGGAGGGGCCTCGGGGAGGAGGGGCCTCGGAGGAAGGCCGGCGAGGGGCTCCGGGGCGCGCGCAGAGTGCCCTCCTCTTCCTCCTCCGCCAAACGGGAGGGAGGGAGCTCTCCCTGGTGCTGCTGGGGGGGGGCACACAATGGGAGGAGGAATACACTCCTCCGCCTGGGAGGGGATGGTTAGCCCGGCCACTCAAAGTTCGGACTACAGCCCGGCCCGGATTGCATCCAAGAGGACCTAACTAACCCCCATCCCCCATCCCTTCCAACCCTCCAAGCAAGGCTGGGGGAGACTGGGAGGAATATATTCCAGCGCCTGGGAGAGGATTCTTAGCCCAGCTACTCAAAGTTCGGACTACAGCCCGGCCCGGATTGCATCCAAGGGGACTGTACTAGGGGGACCCCCCCACCACACACACACACACCTTCCAACCCTCCAAGCAAGGCCATTGTGGTGCTGCTGGGGAGACTGGGAGGAATAAACTCCACCGCCTGGGAGAGGATTGTACGCCGGCTACTCAAAGTTCGGACTACAGCCCAGACCGGATTGCATCCAATGGGACTGTGCGAGGGACCCCCCTCCCATCTTTCAAGCCTCCAACCAAGGCCATTGTGGTGCTGCTGGGGGAGACTGGGAGGAATATAGTCCAGCACATTGGAGAGGATTGTAAGCCCAACCACTCAAAGTTCGGACTACAGCCCAGCCCGGATTGCATCCAAGAGGACCTGACTAACCCCCATCCCCCCCACCTTCCAACCCTCCAACCAATGCCATTGTGGTGCTGCTGGGGGAGACTGGGAGGAATACAGTCCAGCACCTCGGAGAGGATTGTAAGCCTGGCTACTCAAAGTTCGGACTGCAGCCTGGCCCGGATTGCATCCAATGGGACTGTACTAGCCTCCCCCCCCCCCACCTTCCAACCCTCCAAGCAAGGCCATTGTGGTGCTGCTGGGGGAGACTGGGAGGAATAAACTCCACCACCTGGGAGAGGGTTGTAAGCCCAGTCACTCAAAGTTCGGACTACAGCCCAGCCCGGATTGCATCCAAAAGGACCTGACTAACCCCCATCCCCCCACCTTCCAACCCTCCAGCCAATGCCATTGTGGTGCTGCTGGGGGAGACTGGGAGGAATATATTCCAGCGCCTGGGAGAGGATTCTTAGCCCAGCTACTCAAAGTTCGGACTACAGCCCGGCCCGGATTGCATCCAAGGGGACTGTACTACCCCCCCCCCCCCCCACCTTCCAACCCTCCAAGCAAGGCCATTGTGGTGCTGCTGGGGGAGACTGGGAGGAATAAACTCCACCACCTGGGAGAGGGTTGTAAGCCCAGTCACTCAAAGTTCGGACTACAGCCCAGCCCGGATTGCATCCAAAAGGACCTGACTAACCCCCATCCCCCCACCTTCCAACCCTCCAAGCAAGGCCATTGTGGTGCTGCTGGGGGAGACTGGGAGGAATACAGTCCAGTGCCTAGGAGAGGATTGTTAGCCCGGCCACTCAAAGTTCGGACTACAGCCCAGCCTGGATTGCATCCAAGGGGACTGTACTAGGGACACCTCCCCCCACCTTCCAATCCTTTAAACAAGACCATTGTGGTGCTGCTGGGGGAGACTGGGAGGAATACAGTCCAGCGCCTGGGAGAGGTTTGTAAGCCCAGCCACTCAAAGTTCGGACTACAGCCCAGCCTGGATTGCATCCAAGGGGACTGTACTAGGCCCCCCCCACCCACCTTCCAACCCTCCTGGGGGAGACTGGGAGGAATATGCTCCACCACCTGGGAGAGGGTTGTAAGCCCAGCCACTCAAAGTTCGGACCACAGCCCGGCCTGGATTGCATCCAATGGGACTGTACTGGGGACCCCCCCCCCCCCCCACCTTCCAATCGTCTAAACAAGGCCATTGTGGTGCTGCTGGGGGAGACTGGGAGGAATACAGTCCCGCGCCTGGGAGAGGATTGTTAGCCCGGCTACTCAAAGTTCGGACTACAATCCGGCCCGGATTGCATCCAATGGGACTGTACTAGGGACCCCCCCCCCCCCCCTTCCAACCCTCTAAGCAAGGCCATTGTGGTGCTGCTGGGGGAGACTGGGAGGAATATAGCCCAGCACATTGGACAGGATTGTAAGCCTGGCTACTCAAAGTTCGGACTATAGCCCAGCCCGTATTGCATCCAATGGGACTGTACTAGGGACCCCCCATCTTCCAACCCTCCAACCAAGGGCGCAAAAGGGGGCCTCCGAGGTCATAGAATCCTAGAATCCTAGAGTTGGAGGAGACCTCCTGGGCCATCATCCAGTCCAACCCCATTCTGCCATGAAGTAAGAAAATTGCATTCAAAGCATTCCTGGCAGATGGCCATCCAGCCTCTGCTTAAAAGCTTTCAAAGAAGAAGCCTCCACCACACTCCGGGGCAGAGAGTTCCACTGTTGAACGGCTCTCACAGTCAGGAAGTTCTTCCTCGTGTTCAGATGGAATCTCCTTTCTGGTAGTTTGAAACCACAGTTTGATGGCCTACAAACTGTCAGGCCATCAAATGCTAATCAAGGTGACCAACTGAAATATTCACACCTACCTCCAACAGACAAGAGTTCTTTCTCTCACCCTGGACCTTCCACAGATATTTAAACCCCATTTTACTAGTTTCTGACAGACCTCCCTACCTCTGTGGATGCTTGCCACAGATGCAGGAGAAACATCAGAAGAGAATGCCTCTAGGACATGGCCATATAGCCCGAAAAACCGTCAACAACCTAGTGATTCCAGCCATGAAAGCCTTCGACAATACCTTGGCCCTTTCATTCACCCCTCTCTGGACACTCTGGACCCTTGGGTCCATCTTGCCTGAAAGGTCACATTCATCCCTCTATGTATGTATTTATGGAAATATGGATCCCTTGCCTTACATTGAGCGATCTCCTGGGGTTGTTCTAAGCTGTGTCCTCCTTGGAGTAGAGCTCAGCCACATAAACAGCATTTAAGASCATTCAAAACAGCCCAGGAGGGTCTTCCTCGCAGCTCTGTATCAGGCCTGGCTCCCAATTGTGGGATGGAAGCCCCCCCCCCCCCCGTCACCAATCGCAATCCCAGAAGTATTTATTCCTTTACTGGCCTTATTTTTGTCCCATCGTTCTCTTGATACAGGGACACAAGATGGCTCAACACATGCAGTGGAGGTTTTAATTGGCTGCCAAGTCAGCTTCCTCTGCTAAAGACTGCTGGAGTCTCACAGCATCCCATGGCATTGAATCATGGCAGTTACAGTGATGCATACAATGTACTTCCTTACTTAGGTGATCCCTCATAGTCCAAGGATGATGGTCCTCCAAGTATACTGTCTTGTCGGTGGATCCGTAGGTGGCTGTGGAGCCCTATTCTTGATCCCCATATTCTCCCGCAGTCAGGACATTGGTTTCCAGGTGGAAGGGGGTCCTGGTCAGGGTTGGCTTCCTCATGGCACATTTCTCCCTTCCATTCGTGCCTCTTCAAATTCTGCAGCACTGCTGGTCACAGCTGATCTTCAGTTAGCGCACTCAAGAGCCAGGGCTTCAAAGCCAACCTTAAAAGAGCCAGGACCTCAAAGCCAACCTTAACAACTCTGGCATAGACACTGAGAACTGGGAAGCCCTGGCCCTTGAGCACTCCAGCTGGAGGTCAGCTGTGACCAGCAGTGCTGCAGAATTCGAGGAGGCACGAGTGGAGGGTGAAAGAGAGAAACGTGCCAGGAGGAAGGCGCGTCAAGCCAACCCCGACCGGGACCGCCTTCCACCTGGAAACCAATGCCTTCACTGTGGGAGAAGATGCGGGTCAAGAATAGGGCTCCACAGCCACCTACGAATCCACAAGGAAACCCATCATGGAAGACCATCTTACTCGTCCAATGAGGGATCGCCTAAGTAAGTAAGTAAGTTCTCGGTGTCTATGCCACAATTTTTAAGGTTGTCTTTAAGCCCATCTTTAAATTTCCTTTCCTGTCCACCAACATTACGTTTCCCATTCTTGAGTTGGGAGTATGGTAACTGCTTTGGGAGACGGTGATCTTTGGCATTCGGACAACTTGGCATTCAGTCCAGTGAAGTTGATGGCGGAGGAGCATCACTTCAATGCTGGTGGTCTTTGCTTCATCTTCCAGCACGCTGATGTTTCCCCGCCTGTCTTCTTCCCAAGAGATTTGTAGGATTTTTCGGAGGCAGTGCTGATGGATTTGTTCTAGGAGTTGCCTATGACGTCTGTAGACAGCCCATGTTTTGCAGTCATATACCAGACTAGATGGCCTTTGAGGTGCCCTTCCAACTCTAGGCTTCTAATTCTGTTGGACAGAGGAATGGACTGCCTTGGAGGGTGGTGGGCTCCCCTTCTTTGGAGGCCATTGGATGGGCATCTAGCAGAAATATCAAAAAATAACTACCGTATATTCCGGCATATAAGACGACTGGGCGTATAAGACGACCCCCAACTTTTCCAGTTAAAATATAGAGTTAAGATGACTCCCATGCATAAGACTA